CACAGGACACTATCATAATGGGGATGGCAACTACAGAAATACAATGAGCGAAGAGCACAGATCCATACAAGAGCCTATATTTTGCTGCGCATCACTCCCACAATGCACTGCACAAGGCAGCTGACTTCAGGCTTCCACCGCACAAGAGTGAATTTACCACACATATAAACACAATTTTTTGTCTAAAAAGGGACACTGCATAAGAGCGAATGTGCACATACTGAACCCACATAAAGTACGGTAAACATGTATTTTACCGTTCTCCCTCAGAGAATTCAGAATACCAGCAGTAAAACTGATCAGTCTAGTTAATTTCCATCTGCTACAGCTACAATGCTGAAAAAATAGAAATAGCAAAGGCTTTGGGTCTATCTGCGGACGCAGGAAAACAAAAAAAGTACATTAGCTTATACACAACTGCCATTTAAAATGTCCATTATATCATGGGATTTTTTTTTTCTTCCACATAAATAAAGCAAAATATTTACTCAACCTGACAGGACAAATCTCTTTGTTTTCCAGGATTAACTTCAAGCTCACCACTGGTAAAACTGAACCTCAGACTAGCTAATCTTCACAGGTATGACTCTAGGAGGGGCACCAAGTTTCTTCACACCAACAGCTGTACATTTTCTGTTAGTCTGAACAAGGATTCCCTGTACTTTTACTAGCAAAACATTTAGTTAAAAGCTATACAATCCTCCGTGGGCATATGGGGCACCTATATACATACCAACACATGCTAATTAGCATCAGAGCAGACAATTAAATCAAGTCTGCTGGAGTGTGCTAATTAGCACTCTCCAGCAACTTCCGCATCATGTGCGGTCAGCATGCCCATGCTTCAAAATGGCAGGAGGGGCACTTTAACTAAAGCTCGTCTTTAATTAGAGAGCTTCTCTAATTAAAGTGCCATCCCACCCAGGAGTACATGTAAAGTTGTCTGTGGATGTTACATGTAGTTATAACTACATATATGCAATGCTTCTGCAATTTCTAGAAGAGGTTGATATTGCTAAAAACAGTTTTAAAATCTATTTACCAGTACTTCCACTTTGAAAAATAAACTTACAAGGGTGTAATTTACTTAACTATAGCTGAGTTAATCAGACAGATAACTTGCACTTATTTTCAGATCTGGCTTGAGTGACTGACTTTTTTTAATATTAAAACCCCCCCACAAAAACAAGCATTTTGGAAAAGTACATATAGTAGAAGAAAAATCTTATTTTAAACTAGATATGGACTGCTAGATGTGCAACACTGTGGCACATCCCAGAAATATTAAAACGCAAGCTCTAAATTGTTAAAGTGTACTTACTTCTATTGTAGCAGGTTGCCAGCACACCTTTATCTGCAGGACTGGCACTGATTTGCCAAATTTCACCCACTTGATGGAGAAGAACATTTTTGTTTATAATGTTATTTTCATCATCAAAATCTATGATGTGAATCTGCAAATACAATAAAAGAAACATTAGGGCCTCAAATGTTTTCCCGTTGGACTTAATTATACAAGATGATTGCACCAAACCATCAAACGTGAATTTTACGGCTAATATCCACTTTAATTAATTGTTATAGTAACAATATAACATTTCTTTAATTTCATGAATGATATTTTCTCCAAAACCAAAATGTCCTTGTTATGAAGAAATCCCATTTCCTCTTCCTGTTCCTGCAACTTCAAAAGCACACTACATTTGCTATGGTGGTTAAAAAAAAAAAGACCTGGAGGAGTCCTAGCTTTCCAACTCATCATTTCCCAGCACTAAACAGAAATGTATAGACTGAGGGTGTAAACGATTAGAAATATACGCGTTTACACCCTCAGTCTACATGTCTGTTTGTGTATCCAAGTGACCAGAACTAAACCTTCTTTACAGGAATAAAGCAGGAGGAGTTTCACTGGATACCCTATTGAAACTCTTGTAGATCCCTGTTTAACTGCCACATATACATCTACACCATTTAAAAACAAGCTATAGGCAGTCTTCTCCATGGACTGCCACCTTGATGGGCTAGAGAGGCTTGCATATACCGATGACCTCAAGAGCAACACCATCAGGAGTCCTGTATTTCTGGTAGGGTCATTCAGGGTGGTAAGGTCAAAGGTGAGGCATCAGATGAAGACCAGACCAACACAACACAAAGATCTCAATGGTGGAGCAGGCAGATGCAGAAGCCATACTTCTCAATAGCTGTAAAAGCAGATGAAGTCTGCGGTGGAGGAGTAACCCCAGTTGTCTTGGATCACCTTGCCGCTGGAAATAGGTTTCTCCTCCACCAAGATCCATTCGACTGTCAATGCGCAATGGCCCCCTCACATTAAAACAAGTTATGCACAAGCTTCTCCCAGTGGCACAATATCTACTACAATAACCAAGACTAATACCCATAACTTCTACAAAGTCCTGCAGTGACGGATGAGTGGCAATGGGGACAAAGTGATCACCGGTAGTCCCTAATCACAGATCCACATGCAGGCAGTGACTTCATAATGGTTACTTCAGCCTTGATCTGGGACAGAATAGTGATATGGCAACTGCAATTGTGACTGAGAAGTCCTTTTTAGGACTCCCTTTCCTCACCTCACCCCACATGGGGAGGGGGCTAGAAAAGGTGCCCCAAACATAGGCTATCCCTGTGTGTCAAGTGGACAAGTATACTTTTTACCTTACCTAACTGGATAGCCGCTTTCAGGGGGATCACTAATTTCAGTTGAAACACAGAAATGTCTTTTGCATCCATACTAGATGATCTGAACAGTGACAGACCTAAATGCAGAACAGCTCTTGTCACCCAAGAACTCCTGTGATATAAAATTAATATCACTGCTCTCACAAAGACCAGATGTGCAGATGAAGACCAACTGAGGTGGGTAGGCGCGTGATATACATTCTTCTTGAAAAAGAAACCTGCAAACTATTGGCCAATACATGGCCCTGGTTTTGCCATTAAGAACCAGATTGTCAGTCAAATGCCCAAATTCCCTGTCAGCACCTCATGGCTTTCTGCCTCCAGCTGACCAACAATTTGTTAGCTTCTGTCACCAGTACATATGCCCCTACACTCTATGCCAAGGAAGAACAGAAAGAACAGTTTCATGTTGACCTTGATGACCAATTCCAACAGCACCCTCTTACTAAATATGCAAAGCATGACCTTGTCATTACTAAAACTATTTTCAGACAATGTGACAGGTACAAAACAACATAGCAACACCCCCACTCAATACAATGGCACCTCCTCGATTATATCATCATAACAGCATGTGATCTAAAAGCCATCTGTATCGCATATGTCATGAAAGGAGCTGATGACTGCTGAACTAGTCATTGTTTAGTTAAATCAATCGTGTCCATCAGGGTTCCACTGAAACATCAAAAGCAACCCAAATTGGTACAACATGAAATGCCTTCAGACCCCTAGCCACCAAAGCTCTCCAAACACATCTCAATAAGAAACTCATCAATCTTAGGATTAAAAGTGATAACACTTGTGTTCCGGAAAGATTCACAAGCTCTAAAAGAGACCATCCATGAGGCTTTCACAGAATCAATTGGCTTTAAATCACCCAACACTATCAAGACTAGTTTGACAAAAACAATGCTGAGATCGACACCTCTCTCAAGCAGAAGAGTAAAGCTTTTTGACTTCTACGCTGACTCAGAAGCAGAGAATTTTTGGCAACTTAAAGCTGAAGCCCAGAGGAAGATTTGAAAAAAAAAAAAAAAAAAAAAAAA